GCCAATGTTTCCATTTTCAGCAGCAAAGCTCGTACCTGTGTTCATGGCTCAGTGGGCTAAGCCTGTGTGCCTGTAATCACAGTCGCCGATTCAAACCCAGTGTATTTAGAACGTGAAAAGCGATCTTCAGCTGAGATGCCACGAAACTTCATACTACTACTAATAATTAAAATATATATAAAAACATTTTAAATCGTTTAACTGATAGTAATATTCGGTCAAAATTATTTATTTCGGTTAACGGTTAAACGGTCAAAAGGAGCATCCCTAATTTATTTATTTATTTTTATTTACTTCCTCAAGAGAAGGAAAGGGAGAGAGAGAGGGGGAAAAAAGGAGAAGAAGGGGGATAGAGAGAGAGGCTTCCAGTGGCTTTTAGGGTTGATTTTGAAGTGCTCTTGATAATTTTGTAAATGTTTACATGGTCTTGCTCCATCATACCTCAGTGACATGACTGTAAAGTATGTCCCAGGCCGATCTCTCAGATCATCTTAGAGAAATTTATTGACTATTCCTAAAATGGGGCTAAGGAGGGAGGAGGCAGCTTTTAGTCACTATGGTCCTAAACTATGAAACTCTCTCGCCAAGAACCTGAGAGCTACTAAATGTCTTAGTGCTTTCAAAACTAGACTGAATTTAATTACAATTTTTTGACTTCCACAGCAACCAGTAGCGAACACGGGATTTAGTGATAGCAGTTTTATCAGTAAATAATACCAAAACAAATTCTGTTCTCCCTATTGTACTGAAATTTCACCAAACCATGAACACAAAATTGAGGTTTGTACCAAAATCATGAATCTTGTGTACCGTTATACCATTAGTATTAGCAATAAAAACATGCAGACTTACATTTCTGGAACCGTGGTCTGATCCTGCATTCTCCACTGTGGTCCACACTATAGGAGAAGTAGAATGACATTGTACTGGTGTATCCATTTAATTAATTAGCGCTTCTTCTCCACATACATGTGTCAGTAGCAGGGACAGACACACACACTCTGTAGCGTTGCCACCTGTCCCAGTCTTCCTGGGACTGTTCGCTTTTTTGAGCAACTGTACTGGAAAATTTATATTCTTTCCCTGGACATGAACTGTCCCGGGTTTTTGTGAAAATGTAATCTAATTTAGAATTTCATAGTTTCAAATAAAACGTCACTTGGTTTCCTTTACCACTATTCTTTTTCTTCCTGGTTATGTTTATATATCAAGTACTGTGTCCATGAATGGTCTAAAATGGGTAAAACGGGTATGGGTATGGGTAAAATGGGTATAGTTTTATTTTATTGGTAGCAGAAAGACGAAGCTTACTTTATTACCTGGCAACTTAGCAGGCTGTCGGTCAATATAATATGTTCATTATAATATGTCTAATAATGTTTTCATTACTAAAGGAAGTATACCTTTGGACATATTACGGTTAGGTTTTATAATAGATAATAATTTGAAAAAATATATTTACTCATTAAAGCAAAAAATCTGTATTTAACGTAGAAAGGGACAGCAGCAGACAAAGGAGTCCAGAGTGAGTGCAACTGTGTCTGCATCAGGTCAGATACATTTAAGAAAGGCAAGAGAGATTCCTACCTCTGGTAACATAGTATATTTTCAAAAAGGGTATAATCCGAGTGTTCCCGTTTTTCACAAGTTGAAGGTGCCAACCCCACTCTGTACTCACATCAGCTTCTCCAGTTTACAGCTGGGATCCTCCAGTAGAGCAGAGAGCAGCTTCACTCCTGAGTCTCCTGGGTGATTGTAGCTCAGATCCAGCTCTCTTAGGTGTGAGGGGTTTGACCTCAGCGCTGAAGCCAGG